ATCAAAGAAACCCAACTTAGTCAAGATGTTTATGTTTTCCCTGGTTCTCCTCTTCGTTTTATATATATATATATATATATATATATATATATATATATATATATATATATATATATATATATATATATATATATATATATATATATATATATATATATGTGTGTGTGTGTGTGTGTGTGTGTGTGTGTGTGTGTGTGTGTGTGCTTCGTTGAAAATCTCAGTATAGGTACTCATGATCATGCTGATTCCGAATCTATGGTCCAGGATTCAATTGCGCGGTAATTAGTGGTCGTAATGACGCTTGGAATATTTTAATTACATTTTCAATGCCAATTACTCGCCAAAATGGGTTTTCGAGGTGGGATTTTTTTGTGTGTTATTCTGGAAGTACTTGAATAGTTAAACCACCGTCCGTGACCCCACTTGGTCTTACCTAACCTTAGTTAATTCCCAGGTGACCCACTGCCACATAACAGCTAATCCATCGAACAGACTGCGCTGAACTTGGCCCGTAAACTCACACAAGTTAAAATGTTGACTATATATACTTACTTCACTGTTACATTTCCGTAGTTAGTTACTCTTAGGTGATGAACCAGTAACGAATCGTGCGAAGATTATTCTTATCATAAATGTTACTTTACTTACCATAAACTGACTACAGCTACCTGAACCGCAGGCCACATTAAATATAATTTTTCAATCACTCCACGGGCCGTACAAACAATTGGTCCAGGCCGCGGGTTGCCCATGCCTGGTTTAACCCCTTGAGGACTATGGTTTATCCCTTTGAGTAAGATGGTTTAATCCTTTGAGTATGGTGGTTAAACCCGTTGAGGATGAAGTTTTAACCCTTTCAGGATGATGGTTTAGCGGGGTCACCTAACCGTTTCAGGATGGTTGTTAAACCTTTTGAGGACAACAGTTTAACGCTTTGAGGATGATGATTAAGGATAGAAGGTCATCTGGGATCACACTGTGTACGGTTAACTTAATTTCGCCTCTGTGGTAATACTCCGTGACCTGACTCTTTCGTAATCACGGGTAATCAAAAGCAACTCAGGGCCGTGATTTCAGGTCATTATGGGTTCACCTTGAGGGTAAACGTTCATTGTAGGGTTATACTGTATGAGCGTTATTAAGTTTCCAACTGACAATGATCCCTTTTACTTACCTGACTTGATCTTACTCGTTAACTACGGCTCGGGTATATGATGGAGCTCACTGATACCCGGACCCAGACCCGGAGTATATTCAGATCCAACTCCCAACCTAAACCTGACGTAACCAACTCTAACCAACCCCTAACCGGACTTAACTCATTATAATCCTACCATTACCATGTCTTAACCTACACTAACTTAAATTGCTATTTTAATACGAAAATTTGAGTGCGATATCGGGTACAGATATTAAGCCCTTTGGTCCATGGGAGAGAGCGGCATCCCTCTCCCCCATGAACGCCAAAAAGAATGACCACTTCTGACACTTATATAAAAAAAGAAAGAGTGAACATAATATAACACTGAAAATCCAAATGAACTTCTGTTCGAATAGAAAACTAGATGTAACGATGTCGAGACCATTTACCAAAGTTTAAAAAAATCGCTCGCAGATAAATTGTATCCGTGCACCATTTTGGGGGTGGCTGGGATGCAATCTGGCTGTGTTTATTTGTGTGCATGTGGAGTGTATATATATATATATATATATATATATATATATATATATATATATATATATATATATATATATATATATATATAGATCATTACGTCTCCCTAAAAATAACAATGAAAAAAATAAACTCGACTTCAAAATTTAAAGAAAGAATGTATGTCTGTGTCTGTGTCTAATGTCGTAACTCCTTATTTTCTTATGTTCTTATGTTCTTATAAAAAGTTACTGAGGTGACAACTGGGTTGAAATTGGCCAGATTGCCATCAATTATTTCATTTTCGATTTTACGTAATCAAATAGTGAATCAACTAAACGTTTTAATCATCACTTTTATGGGGTCATTCTCCTTTGGATAAAATGACGAACGTTGCTTAAATTAAGACAGCGCTGCCTGAACTACTGTGATGATAGGTCGTCGGTCCATAAACTGTGGACACATTCAACTTCTCAAACACTGTTGCAGTAACTAGGTGTTGTTGAAACATTCCTGAACTGTTATTTACGACGTCAACATCAGCTTTATATGATGACCTACTTGATAATAAACAGAAAATATTGAACTATTTTCTGGTACAACATCGCTAAATTTTCCATGGTGGTCCCTCTTGTGTCCGCCGTCAGTGTTAATTATCCCAACTGAACGTTAAGTCCTGCGGGGACTTGTAATTGGCGTGGGAGCACAGGAGGGACATGACGCCTGAGCCTGGTGCTTGTGGCTCAGTTATGGAAACATCTTTACAAAACATCTTTTAAAATGGGTTTTAAGCTAAATCTATTCTTAAAAAAAAAGTTGTTACAAGTGTTTATCCACAATGTCATAGTAACTACAATACCTGTTTCTCTCTTAATATCTTTCCTTCTCTTTCGTTACCTGTTTGACTGTCTTCCAAAGTCGTCTGTGCCCATGTCTTTCTTTCTCTCCCTCTCTCACTCTCCTTAACCATAAAATCTCTACTCCTCTAGTCAACACGCATACTGAGGCACATGATGAATGTTTATTTACTCAACCAAGGCAAGTAGTGGGAGACATATTTTATGACAAGCGGATTTAAAGGTTGAGACAGAATATCTCCTGTCAGTCTCTCAGTAGAGGTAACTAAGTACAGGTGTACGGGGTGTAAAAGTGGGCAATATATTTTGTGACGTGCAAAATTCTAGTGCTTAGGACACGCAGTTCTTCCTCAGGTACCTAAGCGTATAAGTCGCTGTTGTATAGGAAGTTTTCTTAGTAAGGTAGGTGAATACTTGAGTGTCTAACATTTTATTATGGTGACCTGTGGTGTAATAGTCAGCATGCTCACCTCGCAAGCGAAAGTACCCGCGTTCGATCCCCGGGCAGGGTGAAACTATGGGCAAGTTAATCGATTTGTGGATCGTGTTGGTAAGTTGTCCGGTCTTCTCGGACTATTCCTTGACACTGGTTGTGGTGTTGGCGACAGCTTCTACACCTTAAACAAATTCACGCCTACCTGTAAGTAGCCCTAGGGCCGGCCATCCTCGTTACACGAGGGGCAACTATTATTATCATAACCTTTTATTGTTATTATTACTATCATTGTTACTAATATTATTCAATGTAACCCTGATAAAGGTTCAACACACCATAGCATGAATCTGAAACTAATGAAGCTTCAGACTGGCCAGCATATTAAAACGAAAATCATAAAATCATTCTTCTTATCCCCCCACCATCCTGCCTTCAGTTGATTAGTCTCTCTGTGCGTCAGGTATATGTGTATTATATCACGAAGAAGGTCTTAAGAGATTGGTGATATGGATATTGTTGTTATTTTCTTGGAACTCAACTAATTCCTGGATTTTACTGTAGTGTGTAGAGGTGGTTGAGATTAGTGTGTGGCTGTGACCTTCTGAGCAACACACAGGGGATAACTGACTCCCTCTCTTAACTCCTTCAGCCTTTACGTGTTGTTGAGGCCATGTTGGCAGCCTCGGTGTTTTTGTTGTTCTTTCCTTCCGACTTAATAACATCCCCAAAGACGATGAGCTGCTTAAAGTATCGTGTTATAAATACTGTGTTGATAGTCATTATAACAATAGAAAAATATACTTAGTGGCTTATCTACAGGTAAAAAGGAGAGAGATATAGAATCCAGGTATACAAGCAGTGTGTGTGGGTAAGCTTGGCGGCGGCGTCCTCAGTGCGTGACTTGAGCCTCACTTTTTTTTTCGTGCTGGTCAAGCCCCGACCGAAGGTTTCAAACTCAAAACCTTTCGAGGGCCAACTATTATTTTAGTTACCCTCTTCAGGGCCAACACAAGTGCTATATCACATATTTGCAGGATTGAAGTTTACAGCTTCACACATTGCCTTACCTGGCTTACCAGGAATACCTCATTTGGATTTGTAAAGTTCATTTTACTAAATAAACATGATTATACATATTTCTTTCATAATTTCACGGGATGATAAATTTTACCGTCATCCCGCGGGCCACACCTGACCATCCCAAGGCCCACAGTTGACCTGCGGGCCATGAGTTTGACACCCCTGCTCTAGTATGTCCATTATGTCCGCTATGTCCACTAGCTACAGTACCTCACACGAACATGTAAGGGCAATATAGCCGGAAATAAATCTTTGACCTTGACCATCGAGTTCTGTTTTTAGCTGAGAAAAAACTTCCTTCGTGGACAACATGGATACACACACACACACACACACACACACACACACACACACACACACACACACACACACACACACACACACACACACACACACACCTCTGCCGTTCTCATTACTCAAACACGATAACACGTCTCGATATTCGAAGCTAAAGTTACGATAACAGTTAATACACTACAGCTGTGGAGAAACAATTTTCTTACTAGTTTTTGTATTCGCTCTACTGTATGTAAGAAATATATTCCTTTCTTCCTTTCCGTATGATAAAGGTGACTAGACTCTATCCTTTATTAATATATTCCTGATTATTATGATCATTGTCATTATTATTATTAATGATATTATGAGTAGTAAAGATGTTATTATTAGTAGTATTTCTATTATTTCCTGTTACTTTTGTTTTTTATTATTAAGTAGTTTTTTCCTTTGCTGCTAAAGTAATTAACTACATAAATTGTTGTTATTATTTGATGCAGCCCGCCACATCCAGTTGACTAGGAATCAGGTAAAACTTGATTGCTTTAGTTTTCTCATCAGTGAATTTTATCATTCTCTACCTCAGTTGGATTAGTTTAATTTTCCTAGCTTCGGGTTATTAACGTGATCTACCTGCGGGTTACACTACGAGCTAGGCGGGGTGGGTGAGCACAGGTGTGGTGTGGGTGCGTCTCACCTGTCTCTCCATGGAGTGATGTGTCTTGCAAGGCAGGAAGACAGATGCGCCCAGCTGTGCCGTTATGTTGGTCACGCTGTTATTTTTCGCGGTGGCGGAGGCTGTGGCCGTCAAGCTCACTTCATCCCCTTCGGCGTCGACGTCTGGGTCGTCGGCGGCTGCGGCTGCGGCAGCGGCAGCGGCAGCGGAGGCAGTGACGACGGAAAGATCGTCTCCTGTCGCTCGGGACGGAGAGGCCGTCACCCAACGTGGCTCGCGGGCCCCGTCGCCTGACCCTGTGGGAAAGACAAACACTCTGGTTATGTACCTGTGAACTAAATTGCCATGGTAAGAGAGTCATGTGCCTTTGTATACACCAAAACTCTTTTCAAACTACTACATATCTCTTTGAAACTCACAATGAAGCAAAATGATTCATGTCGTCCACTCTGCTCGTTGCCTCACAACTACTATCCTTAATGGTAAGAATACATTATAATTAATATAGTCTATCCGTATAAATTAGCATTATCGAAGATCAGAATTATGTCAATGCCATTCACAAGGAATTGAACTTACCTTTCATTATCATACGTAAGAACCATGTGGAAACTTCTTTGTTGACATCATTACCATACACCAATATTAACAATGCAAGAATATATCACCATCATATCACCATCACGTGTCACTGTCATGCAACAACTCTACTCCACTTGTTTAACATTATCATAGGTCATGTTTATGTCACTAGTATTATCTTACACCAAGCTCTAGTATCACAGCCACTACTCCGGGTCAACACCACTATCAGCACCCATCTCCGCTAACTTAATTGCCATCACGCACGAAGAACACAACGTCATATCCACACTATGCACTATTTAACGAGTAAACACTATACTCTGTTATGCTAATCAGTACAACTGCTATAAGTGGCTACCGTACACCACAGCTCTACACCATCACCTTATACTATACAGGCAACATACAGTAATACCTTCGCTGTACGTGAGTCGGATACACCATAATACACTAATATATTCACATTAAACCTTATCTAATGCTACCTACTTTATACGTGACTCTCATTTATCACTACGACACACAAACACCTTTGCCTGATACCTAAGTTAACAGTGATAACTCTGTGTGTGTTCTACGCGACTCTCATACACCAAAACGTTGCACTAATATTACACAGAGCCACCTAACCTTACCTAACCTAACCTAACCTAACCTAACCTAACCTAACCTAACCTAACTTAACCTAACCTAACCTAACCCCAAGTCAAATATAGAACGCAGACGCCAGAAACCATAACATCAAGATCTGTCGAGGTTTAGAGGGTGACTCCTTTATATATTAACGACTGGGCTCCCTCCTCTGGAATATCGCCCTCAGCCACTCTTAATAGGGGCCTCTGGTTTCCCTTTGTTCCTGTCCTATGGTAGGTCAATCCCCTTCCTTTCCTCTAATAATGAGAATTACTCTACCACTGACCACACACTTGACCCTAACCTTCTCTAACACTTTTCCCTCTCTCTTTCACTATCCCCTGACCTCGCTCGTCCCCTCTCTCCCCCTCCTCCCCGCTCCCGAGCCCCAATTATCAACACACATTCACACGCACTTCCTCGTTCAGTTTGACATTCTTTCACCTTCAAAACTATTACTGTGAAAGTCTTATATACGCTCTTTTCTCCCCCGTGTCGATGTGTATCCTCCTCTCGTTTCCTTCTTCATTATCCTGTACTCCTCCCTCCCTCCCTTCCTCATTTAGAAAGAGGTGAGTCATCCATCTCCCAGGAGTGAGTCAATATGGAATTTTTTTATGAGTCATACGTAATAATTCCCCATTACCTTACCCTTCTTCCCTCTCTTCCTTTTCTTTATCCCATTATCTTCCTTTCCTCTCCTTTCTTGTACCAGCTTCTTCTCCCCATTCTTCTTCCCCCTCCTCATTACACTCAACTACATCTCATTCTCTTCCTCAATCCTCGCCACATCCTTCTCATCCCTCTTACTCCTCTTCCTTCCGCTCCTCATCACAAACAAACTCTTGTCCTTCAACTCCTCCAGGTGCACTCCCCCCACCGCTATCATCACATTAAGCCAACAGCAAAAAAAAAGTAAAATATTTTACGTATCACCCTTCCCAAAGTCAACATTCCACAGGTTCCCCAAGGCTCTATCCTGCGGGGACACATACTGTACACACACACACACACACACACACACACACACACACACACACACACACACACACACACATATACACACACTAATTCCAGAATCAGAGTGCGTGCATACAATCAGGAAAGCACAAAATTATTAGTGCTTGTAGACAGCCTCGCCCCACACCCTGTGATAAAGCAACAAACACTGTTATTAACAATTGAGAGTACTAAGCCGATTAAGCGTACGTGGGTAGCTTTCGTATACCTCCGACAATATTATGAGAACTAGTCCAAGCGCACACCATGTTGCATGATGCTGCTAATGGCTGCTGTCAAGGTGAGTTTAGAAGATTATTTCCAAACCTTGACCACGACGGCGACTGACAACAGGGAAATGATATATATTTACATACCTGTCCCAGCACGGTACACCCAGCAGTTAAGTACATCCAGCATAGACACTCACTAGCATTTACAAGTACTATTAACACACACAGTAGTACCATTAACACACCCACTAGCACCAATAACAAACCCAGTAAAGAGAAGAGATTCACTAGCACCACTAAGAGACCCACTGAGAGAGTCCATCAACAACACCACGAACACAACATTAGCACCATCACCACCATCATCACCACCATTACTCACACCACCACCTCCACCATCACCACCACCACCACCATCACCACCACCACCACACTACCTGCAACACAAGCTTTAGGTCATCCCAAGAACACAATTCTCTTGTAACTTGGGAACTTCACTTACACTAACGAAACACCACAGATAAAATACCTCCCTTGGGTGTTGCTCCAAAGGAGAGAGAGAAGGAGGTGCAACAGTAAGGAGAGAGAATAAAGGAGAAAGAGGAGGCAGAGGAGTGAGTAATTGGAGAGAGAAAAGTGAGGAGGAGGAGAAGGAGTGATATTTAGAGATAGGAGGAGGGGAAAGACGAGTGGTTAATAATAGTCAAAGGAGGAGAAGGAGGAAGACAAGGAAACAAAGGGGTGATTAAAGAAAAGAGGAGGGGGAAGAAGATGTGTACTTTAAGAAAGAGAAAGGAGGTGCGGCAAAAAAATAATGAAAACAATAGAGAGAAAGAAGAGAAGGAAAAGCAGGAAACAGAGACGTTTTTGGAATCGGTGGAGAATAGACATTGAGAAGAAAGAGTGTTAAGTACTATATAAGGAAGAGAGAGAGAGAGGAGGACGTGGGAGTCAGATTGTGGTGAGGGAGAGAGGTGCTGGGATGATGGGTAAAGGCTGCTTCTAACCCAAGTGCAATAAGCGATGAGGGCATCATTACTGGGCCAAGGCACGTAGCTGAGGCGGTTCAGGGTTACGGCGAAAGGGGAGGAAATTACCCCCACATGACCTTATATTACTTGCTACGCTATTGTACCAAGGGGCGCTAAGGTATTCATAGGCAGGCGAGGTGAGCACAAGGGGGAGGGTGATGAAGGAAAGAGAAAGGGTTTTAAGATTCAGGTTAGTGTCTCTTTCTCTGACGATGATAAGAGGGAAGAAGGGAGGGTTGTCTTGTGTTCTTAGCAGCAGCAGCAGCAGCCTCCAGGGCACCTCCCAGGGGCCGCGGCGCCCCTAGGGGCCCGCCCAGAGGCGGCTATGCCCCCAAAGACCCTCCCAAGGGCAGTGGCGACCCCAGGGGCCCTCCCAGCGACGGCGACGCCGCCAGGGGTTCTCCCACGACCGGCAGAGCCCCCAGGGGCATTTCGAGGAGCGGCGGCTCTCCCAGAGGCCCTCCCAAGGGCAGCGGCTCCCCCAGGGGGCATCCCAGTGGCGACGGCACCCCCGGGGGCCTACTAGGAGCAGCAACGCCCCCAGGGGCTCTCCCAGCGGCGGCGGAGCCCCCAGGGGACCTGCCAGAGGATTTGGCACGCCCCCAAGGGCCCTCCCAGGGGCGGCGACGTCGCCAGGGGTTCTCCCATGGGTGGCGGCGCTCCCAGGGGCCCTCCCAGGGTCCATCCCAAGGGCGGCGACCGCCCCCAAGGGCCCTCCCTAGAGATTCATATTATTATCCACGGTACTGTACCCCATTCAGCAGTAGGCGCCTGTGAACCCAGAGGTGTGTGTGTGTGTGCGTGCTCTCTCTCCACGCAATTTCAATAGGATATAAATACGTGCCTCTCCTTCCCCCGCAGCCTAATACAAGATATTGCGACATAACATTGCACTCTGATGTTGAGTACTGTGCGTGTGTGTGTATGTTTGTGTGTGTGTGTGTGTGTGTGTGTGTGTGTGTGTTTGTGTGTAGTGGCGTCCTAAAGCTCTGTATCGATAAAACCAGACTAACATAATAAAATACAAATTATATTCTCTCATAAGGATCTATTAATTACATGAGGGTAGATAGAGAAGGAAGAGCCTGACCGTGACTAAACCAAACTAATGTACCAATCTTGTCGACGGAGTAGCACGGGAAGTTGAAACGAGAAAGCCATTTCCTTGGTCGGAAGAATATACTTTTTCTCAGCAACTCTGTACATGATTCCTCAAAAAAAAACGGGGTGGGGTGGAGTGGGGTGGAGTGGAGTGGGGTGGGGTGGGGTGGGGTGGGGTGGAAAGGAGAGGGTGTGGTGGGGTGGTGTAGGGTGGGGTGCAGTGGGGTGGGGGAAGACACATTCACACACTCTGTCTCTTTCGTTTTCTTTCTCGTTCTCACGTTCGATGTCATTTTTTTTCTCATTTTCTCTCTGATTTTTTCCCTACTCTCTTTCAGGCTATCGCTAATTCTAATTCACTTATTTACTGTCTGTCTGTCTGTCTGTCTATCTGTCTATATGTCTGTCTGTCTGTCTGTAAGTGTTAGTCTTCTTACACCTTGTTCTTTACGGCCAAACATCTGGGCTAAATGGTCGTTATGGTGAGATAAGTGGCTCCAATTTATTTAAAGTGGTTCAGCCTCTTTCTCTCTGCCCCGCTTCCTACGTCCAGTTTTAACCCTTACATATCTGGGTTTACGTTCATTGTGTGGGTGGGTGTGTGTGTGTGTGTGTGTGTGTGTGTGTGTGTGTGTGGTTGGTAGCGCTTAGGGTTTGATTTTGTAGAGCTCATTGGTGGCTAGCATGTTTGGTGTGTTTGAGTGTGGTTAGTAT